GGGGGGGCATTGGCTGAATGCCATTTCTTCAGGAATCTTTCAAGGCACTAAATTCAACAGGTCCAATATGAAGCAATATTAAGCGTGGTGCAGCCTCGCTGCACAGTATTTCACAGAATTGGAGACAAAGTTTATGCATCACCCTATTGCTTGAATCCCTGTGAAATCCCACATGCCATGCCTCCTAAGTGTACAGTCTGGGGCATAAGTCACAGCCCTCCAAACACCCACTGGCTTCCAAACTGGCTCCTGTTATGCTACTTTGCCTTACACGCATTTGGGGTCCAGCCACTGTTGTCAGCTCTCCGGGTGATTTCCTGGGAGTGGGAATGAGAACTGTGAAATCTAGGAGGGGGAAGTGATTCTTTCTGGCCAGTTGACAGCCACCTTATACTTCATACCTCTGTCTCTATCACTGCTGAACTCTTCCTATAGGACTTATGGCCCTGATTCTGCCCTCTCCAATACTGGTGCAAGACAAGAAAATCTCCAGTGAAATCAAGAGTTATACACTGGTATAAAGCCAGCATGAGGCACAGGAGTGTCATGATGACCCAACTGAATCTGACAACCAAGGTAGCTCAACAAGTCCATAGCAGACTTCCCAGGCCTGTGTCCAAGCCAGTACAACCTGCTGGTTCCTTATTTTTGGAGCTGGATTGTCTATACTAATGACTGTAATTTGCAATTCAGGAGGGTCTAGAGGCCCCTAAGGCTAGGTCCCACCTGTCCCCTTGTGCTGGATAGTGTAAAAACATACAGGAAGAAATAGTTCCTGCCCTGTAGACAGCCTGGAGAGTCAAAGAAAGCTGAAGGGAGGAAAAAGGAGTTTAATATAAGCTAAAGTGGTTTAATGAATATTACGCTTTATTAAAATAATAAAGTACTTTAATGTAAAGCTAATGAAGGATTGTAAATATCATATTCATGCCACCATGTCCCTATGGTTTTTTGCGGTGGGGATGGAAGCAGTGTGTAATTGTAGCAACTTATTCTCTCCATTAAACATATTTGAGCCTAGGAGTGGACTGAGACTAAAGGCGGGTGGGGAGGAGAGTTAATAGGAAAGACAAAGGAAAGGGATGGGAACACGGGGGGCAAGTGGAGTGAGTCTGAAGTTGAATGAGGTGGGGGCATGGGGGGAGGCAGACAGTGAATCAGTGGAAAGGAAAGAATAAGCAGAGTGAAAAAAACACTGGCACAGGCCACAGCCGTCCTCCAGCTGTGTCCAGCTGTGCAATTCAGAGGGCAATTTGAGATCTTTTGTGTGCCCAATGCCATCAGCAAAACACTATCTAA